CAAGAGACATTTTTTGAATGAGAATCAATGTGTCAACCAAACACACTCTCAACTCTCAATATTATCCACCAACTGAATAAGAAATATTCAAAATATTGAACTTTACAACTTCACCTTCTTCAACACCCCAAACAAATCGCAATCTTTTCCGTCAAACTTTCACAAATAATTATTACAAAAAAAAATGTCATTCCAACCACGAACAATTTATTATAATGCCAATGGTACTCCCTCTTATTCTCCATCATCACCAGCCTATGCACCAAGTTTTTATCTTCCGAAAAATACTGTGCTGAGTTTTGATTTGGATGAAAAAGTTGTGGCGAGAATTGAGAAGGAAACGAGAAATTGGGGAGTTTTGAGATGGAGAAGTCCAAATTTAGGAGAACGATATTGGGGACATGTTTATATGAGTGTTGATTCAAAAATTGTGGAAATTATTAAAGATCATTATGGAAAGAAAGGGTTGATTACAAAGGTTAGGGAATTATTGGAAGATTCAGGGGAACCTAACTCAATAGTTGAATTTAATGCATTCTTGTTGCCAACTCACTTTACTGTCATTTCATGTAAAGAATGGCAACAAGCATTCTTTGGATTGGAGAAGGAGGTTAAGTATTTTACTGTTAAAAATCCCACAGACAATGTATTCCAAAGTCCAATTGAATTTGTGAATACTCCATATAATAGTCATTCCAAATTGGTTAAGGAGGAGAAAATTCAAGAATTGGGTAATTTTACATATTTTACAAGATCTGATTTTGCAAAATCACTTCCAATTGAACTTCTTTCTCATATTAAAGAATTTCTCCTTATGGATTTGAAAGAATGTGGACAAAAATTTAAATTCTCAATCACAGGACAAGTTAGTTTGGTGCCAAGATACTTTGAAGAAAAGGTTGGGTTTATTCTCCATATTGATTCTCCTGAAATGAATGAATTGAGAATGAAATACGGATTTAAAAGTATGGAATTTTCCATTCCTTTGGGAGTTACTAAATTTGAGTGGAATAATTCGCCACAAAACCCAACAAAGGTTTTCATTAAGAATTTTTCAAAGAAAAGAACTCGAGATTTGTTTGAATCCAATGAATGATTAAATCTAAAAATTTGGAAAAGTGACAATCTACTTTTGTTATATCTTAGTAGGTAATAATATTCTAATATTTCATAAAATTAAAGTCATGGATGATATTTCAGCAAGTGAATGTGCAAGCTTGCTTTTTGAAACAAGGCCTTAACAGGAAAGCAGAAGAAAAAATGACCAATTTAGATTACATTGCCAATTGCCTCAAGAAAGAAATGCAGACCATGTTTGTGGTTTTTCAAGAAAATATTAAAAAAGATATAAAGCAAGAACTTGAGAAGTTTAAAAGTGATTTGAGGTCCGAGATTAAGAATGAACTGAAGGAACAACTTGATGAATTGAAGCAAGATATTAAACAAGAGTTTGAAAAGTTTAAAAGTGATTTGAGGTCCGAGATTAAGAATGAACTGAAGGAACAACTTGATGAATTTAAGCAAGATATGAAGCAAGAGTTTGAGATGTGTAAAAACGATATTAAGGATGATTTAGGAAAGGTCACAAAAAACATTTGCACTTTATACGAACTGCTCTTAACCCAACATTTAAAAGACAATCATCCAACAGCTTAACTTGTATATGGCTGTCACTTTCACCAAACTCAAATAGAAAGAGAAAATGGAAAAGTTTTTGAATAATGGTATCCAAGAAGTTTTCATCATTATAAATAATATCCAATTTGACGAAATATGGGGTGGTTAATTGTTAAATATTTTATCTTATTATTGATGGTGATTCAATATGGTAATAAAGCGGCCAAATTGGATAAGGGATGAAATAACAAATAAATTACAACAATATATTACAAATTTTAAACAAATTACAACTAATCTAATTAAATAATTCATCATCATGCAAAATAGTTGTTCGAAATGAATTTTCACCATGAAAATTATTTACATATTGATCATCAACATGATCTATTTTCGTAATAATCATCATTGGTTGATTCTCCAATTTTCTCTTCTTGTTATTCATTGAGTAATTATGCGAATCTGGAATCGGTTGATTCGTTTGCAATGATGAAGTAGTATTAACATTATTTACAACATTATTTGCATTATTATTATTATTAGTATTATTGTTGGAATTGTTTGATGATTTTCCGCCAATGGAGAGTGGCAAAGATGAAGGAGATGATGATGAACTAGCGTTTCCCATTTTACTATTTTAATACTAATAAATATTCGAAACGTTAGTCAATTTTTTATTTTGATTGTTGAGAATTATTTCCACCAGTGGTGCAATCCTCGAAGAAAACAAGTACACGAGAGGTGCTTTGGATAAACTTGACATTTTCATGGAATAAACTATCTTCTTCGATAACACTTGCAGTTTCTTGTTTCCTTTTCGTATTTTGGAAGTGTTGGAAACAAACTTGATTGACTGATTGAGTACATTCCATGTTTGTTTCAATACATACATTTCCATCATTAGCATCAATTAAATCCAAAACAAAATCTACATGAACTTGTTGATCAAATCTTTCAACCATAATAGGAATAACCATTCTTCCCTCATTGAATTCCACATACACATAAGGTTCCTCAAATTTGAAAATCAAAGGTCCTACATTGGTATATTGATAGAAAATTGGAAATAGCTCATTCATTTGCGAATTGTAATAATTAGGTGTTGTCAAATCAAAACTTTCATCCACAAGTGCAAACTGTAAAGCATTTCCCTGAATGGAACGACACAATTCAATGTTAAAATCCTTTTCATCACCAATGGATAAATCAAATGAAATAAATGTAGAAAGTGAGGAAAGGCATGGTTGCTTGTTTTTGAAAAATACATTCAAAAATTGAATATTTTCTGTTTTGTAATTGTTTCTAAAACTTTCGTATACTTGTCCACACGAATCATTGGTAATATAAGCCACTGCAAACTTTCTTTCGTTTAGTTTCAAAATCAAGTTGCCATTGCTCTTTTTCTGATCAATCTTTACAATTACTGGAATAATCAACATGTGTCTCTCTGTTTCTTTCAATTCGAATAGTTCATTTGGATAAAATTTGTACACACAAATTCTTCCACTTTCTTTAACATCATACATGATTGGATAATTTTCTGAATTGAAATTATTTGGAGTTCTAAATTGAAAACTAGTTTCGTTTTTCAATTCAATGCTCAAATTCATTCCTTCGGCCTTGCAGATGGAATTAATTTTGGATTCTTGATTGTTAAAATTCGATTCTAATTTGTTGGAGAATTTTAACTTGACAGATGTGAGTGACTTGGCATGTTCATGTTCTTGTGGATCGAGAATTCCATCTTTAATTTGGTTTTCTGCATGTTTAGTTTCTTCCTCGATATTCGAATGTTGTTGCATGTTGCTATCGCTGGTGGTTGATGAAGATGCAGACATGGAATTATTTTGATTATTTGTTGTTGGTTGTGTATTAACACGTCTTGAAAAATATGATCCCATCATTAACGCACATGTGTAGACGAAACTATCCTAAACAACTCCTTTAGAAACAAGCCAGCTGCAAGACCCAAGTGAGGTGTTGTGAGAAGGATTTTCGTTTGTTTTTTTGTGTTTTAGTTCTTTTCAAATTTGGAATGGGAATTGCTGATGGTGACACCTTGGAAAACTACTTTCGTCTGAAAGTGCTCCCATCCACCTCTATTCGAAAGGTTGTGGACGAATGTTTACGTGACAAAATAGGTGCGTGCTACATGTTAACGTTGAAGCATGTTGAATTTAACTCTTTTTTTTTTAATTGTTGTAAGCAGAACGTGCACCACGTTTCGAATATTTTCAACATGTGTTGGAAACAATTAAGCTTTGTCAAATCACTAATCGAATTCTATTGGATGAATTATTTCTGCCTAATTTTCGGCGACCTATTAAACAATTTTCAAGGCTTGTAAGTTTTTCTGAACTGTTTCACTGAAAATCCAGTAAATTTCAAATACAAATCTAAACAGGTTGAGAAAGTGCCATTCCTTGATTTGAAATAAACATTTCCTTCCATAATTCTAGCTTTAAAACAATCCTTTCTATATAATAATTCAAAAATAAATTGTAAACCAATGATGAAAACAGTCAAACTAATTAATAAGAAACCAAACGAAATTATCAAACAAATACCAGCTGCTGCAAACAATCCAATAAAATCTGCTTGAGTATCTAATCGAGGTCCTTTCTTTCTGGGATCATACGTACAGAAAGTTGTGAAATTTTCAAACTTGTTGATTTCACATTCTCCCTCAAAACATTCATAAATGGAAATTGAGTTATATCTAATGGAATTATCCTTAATAGACAATTCCAAAGTGTATCTATATTTGATTCTATTAGGAATGGTATCATTCAATGTCAATCTGTCAACACTCACAATTTTTCTTTCACATTTTAATTGAGAAGTGAGTGAAATAACTCCAGGAACTACAAGACAAAGAGATAATAGAAATAAAAACATGAACATTATGAAAGATGAAAGTGCCAATCGTTGTGGAGCATTCGGATAAGGATCATTGTTGAAACATTGCATTTTCCGAAACTTGACGAAACTCTTCTTGATATCAACTTGTCCAATTTCTTCTATCCGAATACTTTCATCCATCACATTATATTTTTCAATAATTTTCTTCCAATACTCATCAGAAGAAGTAATTGAATAAAATTTACGGTTGACCAACGATAGATTTAAATTAGTTTTTGGAGTGGTGAGATTTAAAAACTCACAAATGATGGTCAGTTCATCATAGTTTAAATTCATCACCAATAAATTGCATTATTTTTTTTAAATTTATTCCTACCTAATTTTATTGTAAACCTTTTCAAAAAATCGAATGTCGGCACTGGAATTGAACGTGCGAGTGCGCTTTTAAGGATTATCGTTCTAAGCGGGTTATTGAAAATCGTAATTTGCGCTTAAAATAATTGGCGCGGAATTTTTTTATTTTAAAAATCAAAAAAACAAAACACTCCCGTTCATCATCACGAATTTTCTTTAATTGTGTTTTAATTAATTGTTATTTCTAATAGACTATCAAGATGGATGGAGTATTTAATACAGCACGTATGATGTGGAATTTATTTAGTGGAAAACAAGCTGAAAATTCCGAAGAAACGACAAAGAAGGAAGAACAAGAACAAGACTCTATTAAAATTTCAATTAAACAAGATGAAATGTATTCGATCCGAGCCTGGATTTCAATGGCTTGTTTCATGAGAGAGGCACACAAGTATGGAGAGGCTGAAAAAACATTTGATAAAGCCATGGAAATGATGATCAAAGGAAGTGGTTTTAATTATAAGGATTGTATAACGATGAGTAGCTTGAATTTGGAAATGGGAAGGAATTATGTTCATCTTGGAAAGGTAGAACACGCCACTCAGTGCTTTAATAAGGTTTGTGAGTTGGAAGTCTCATTGATGGATAAAGGTGAAGCAATGGCAGAGTTGGCTTGGTTGGAATTGGATGAAGGAAGTGATGCAAGTCTTGGAAGGGCTAAAGCAATTATTGAAAAATTACAACAAATGACACAATGTAGAAGAATTGAACAATTGTGGAATCACTTGCTCGGAAATTACTACCTCTTGAAGCAGGACAATAATTCAGCTTTGAAGCATTATGAAAAAGCTGTCGAGTTGGATACTGCTTGTGTGGATAGTTTGGCAGTTTTGGGAGATATCTATTTCCATCAAATGCAAGACAAAACAAAGGCACACCTTATGTGGTCTCGCGCCTTTGACATTGATCCATATAATAATAATCTTTCTCACTACAAGCTTGCCAAGCATATTATTAAGCATGAACATAATTTGGAAAAGACAAGAAAGGTTTTAGATATTGGATTAAAGTTGGATCCAGAAGATGTCAACTCGCACTACTTGATGGCTGTTTGTTTGGAAGAATTGGAAGCTGAAAAGACTCCAGGTGTACAAAAGGAACTGGTAATTTTCCACTATGCTGAGGCTGTTAGATTGGGTTGTGAAAAGAAGGAATTATATAGACGATTCAGTGAATATTTGGTCGAGTTGAAGAATTATAATTGGGCACTTGGTGTTCTCAATAGTGGCTTGAAGAATGCAAAGGAACACACTGTTTACATTCTCTATCTGAGACAACAATTTTATGAAATTACAATGCAAAATTATAGAGCTGCTCTTGAAGATTGTGAACACATTCTCAGATTGATCAGTCAAGCCAATATTACACAACAAGCTTATGATGGTATTGTATCGAAGGATATTATTAAGGACAAGATTGTAGAACTCAAGGAAAAGGTCTAAAATTTATTCCAAAAGAGATCGATCGAACATTTCTCCCAATGTGATAGATTTAGCTCCAGTAATGACATAGTCATGATGGTTTTGGTCTACCAACTCTAAAACGTACTTGTAATTGACCATCATTCCATAACTTTCTTTGAGTCTTCTCACGGAGAGGTCACCCTTCCAATTAATACGTTCGAGACAGGCACCATTTCTCAAGTGGAAATTTCCAACTGGATCGAGAGCCTTACCCTTGTGTTTTTCTTTATAAAGATATCTTGCACAAAGTCTTTCCATTAGTGGTTTGAGTTTTTCACTTGGATGGAGTGAATCAGTTGTAGAATTGATTCCTCCTCCAACAATTCCATCAACAAGAGAAAGCAGCAATTCTTTAGCTTGTAAATCAGAGGTGCATTCCTTTGGAGAAGTGAGACCAAACAATTGAGGTTCTTCCATAGCTAATTTCTTCAGTAATTCCACATCTGCAGACCGAAGCAAGCTCTCATCGTGGAACTTGTTCAAATCAGAAGAGCATTCAATTCTCAATTTTTGAGATAACCATTTCATAAATGATGGAATTGGAGAAAGAGTAGAGAATTGTACAATATCACCACCGTAATTATCACTGACCAATTGTTTTTGTTGGAGAATGCCAACTACCTTCTTGATAAGATAATTTCCCAATTCAATGCCTGTTAAACCAGCTTGAGTTGAGGAGATTGAGTAAAAGATGGCAGTATTTACATTTGGTGTTGCCTTGGCCTTTTCAATGTCGTGTACTTGTCTCATATTTGAGGCAATACTGTCCATTAAGGCAACTTGCAAAACAACTAATGGAACTCTTGGCATGGCAGCATGGAAAAGACCATACATTTTTCTGTTTGGTGTTGGAGCTAATCTATTCTTGAGAGCTTCCATGTTTGCAATTGGATGGACACGTTCGTAGTGAATGATCTTTTCAACTAGTTGAGCATTAGTTTCCCTCCAATCTAATTCTTTACATTCGAGGAATGATGGAGAGAACCAACTCGACAATAATCTTACCAAATTGGTATTGAGATCAGAGAGGAGTATTGGTAGAATGAATTTTTTGTAATCACTGGTTGCTGGAGTGGATTGTTGCTTTTGTAGTGTTGCAATAATATCCAGCAAGTCCTTTCTCATTTGCATGACAAATTCCAATCCATTCATACTTTGGCTTCCAATAGATATTTCCTTCTTCATCAATATTAAAATGAATTGTTCCAAGAATTTTTCATAGTATGGTTCCAAACTAGTTCTCAATTGTTGAATAGTATTCAAATATCCCAAAATATTTCGCTCCACATTTTCACTAGATTGCACATTTTGCAGAGCACCTTTCATCTTGTCCAAAGTTTGTAAAAGAGTATTGCTATTATCAGTAACAACATTATTACTCATCATTTGTAATAAAGGAGCAATTGGAACACCACCAAAGTGCATAATCATCACTTCAAAGAATCTAATCTTTCCATTCTTGTCCAAATTCTTCATGTACATTTGAGCAAGTTTTTGTGAAATATCCTCAGGAATCTCCACCTTGTTAATATTATTAATATTAATTCCGTGAACCACTCCCTTGATTGATTCCTCCAGAGAAACATCTCCCTTTTGAATATATGAATAAATAGATTCCCAATATTGTTTAAAATTCGTAGAGAATGATGTGGCCTCTTGTTTTTCTAAATTACATTTAGTTTCATTGAATTGCAGAGCAAAATCATGATGAAAATTTCGTTGCAGTGATGTGCAGTGAATATTTGTTGTTTTTGTGGTGAAGGAATTTTGATGAGAAACCACCCGATGATGAGCAGCAACAAGAGAATTTGATGTTGTTGTTTGCTTGAGGTGATTGATCAGCACGGAAAGTCTCCTATGTGATGCTTTCATTTTTTTCTGTTTTGTTTTTGTGAATTTTGTGGAGAACTATTTTGGAAAGTTTTATAATTCCAAGTTTGGAAGGTTTAAAATTTTCAATAATATTTAAAATACAATATTTGGGTTATTATTTTACATTCTTTTTGGATTCCTTTTCAAAATAAATTTCATCTGAGAGAGCATGATTAAATTCTCGATGTTTACATTCATCCATTCGAATAGCGAGAATTACATCTCTCAGAGTTGCGTTTTTAGGAAGATTCCAATAATTAATTGCCATTTCCGGCTGTATGTTCCAAATTATTCTACAATTCAAATATTGTAAAAACTTACTGCTGGTGGATTTGCAATTTTCTTTTCATCGATTTGTTTCAAAACTAATCCATAACTTTCCACTGCAGTTTCTGCCAAATATCCAACAAATCGGTGTGAGAATGTTTTTCCTGCTAAACTATAAATATAGAAATAATATTGTGAAAAACTCAATTGTGCAACAACCATGAGTATTCTTTCCAGAATGTTCTGATGAGTCATTTCCAAGAGAACTAACATGTGCATTCTATGATTTTCTGCTTCCTCCAATAATGCTCCAACTCTTAAATGTTCCTTTTTACATCTATCAATTGGCTTACTTCTTAGAGATGCAAAATGTCTCCACATTCCACCAACCTGTCATTAAATAATTCTCAAATTAATTTGGTTTGAAAAGAATTAATTCTTACCATTCCAGGAGTTGCTGACATGGTTTCCAAAAAGACAGAATACCTCAGCATGTTTCTTCCAAATAAAAACTTTAAAATTCTTGCAACACATCTTCTGGCCCACCATTGAGCCCATCGATCCGTTCTATTTCTTGGTTCCATTCGTTTCTCATTCAAGAATCCGAACATTTCACTTTCTCCATGATCCATCCACTCATAAACTTGATTCATATCAGTTTCCTTCTTTCTAATTATTGTGTTTTTTACTTCCAATCCTTCCTCATCCGGATCAACACTATCCAAAAGCTCCTGTTGATGATCCCTAAAAAGTGAATCTGGAGCATCAATACTCAATGGATTATGACTAGTCGAATACCATTCAAAGAGTTTCCTTCTCTTGATTTGATTTTCCTTTTTTTTTCTGTTATTATTACCTTCTTCCGATGATTGTTCTTGAAGATTTGTATTAAAATTTATAGAAAAACATTTTTGGAAATTTTGCTGATGATTATCATCAATTCGTATCGGAATCCTTCTGTATAATTTATTTTCTCTTGCTGATGAATTTTGCAGGAAATGATGAAAAAAGTTTCTGCCAAGATGAAATCTTTTCATTTTTTTTAATTTTTGAAAATATTTAATTGTGCTGAAATATTTAGCTTAATGATAAATTGAATGAGTGGAAAATGTTGTTTTATTTGCATGAAACTGTACATCTTCTCAGACTTGGTCACCAAGTTAGTTTCTTGAAATAGAGAACCTCATCGTTTGCACACTTAATTTCTATCTTATTTGGATAAAAATTGAACAAAACAAACCCAAGAAGAAAGAAGATAACCTGGAAAGTCTTCAATACAGCTCTATGCTCAATTGTTCAATGAATCCATGTTACCAATAAGGCAGCGATTTCACATTCACAAAATTAATTGACCATCCAAGGTAACGGTTCACGTAGAAAGAGAGATGAAACCCTTTCATCCATTCTCTGTCTGAGTTCATTGATTCCCAACAAAACCTGAAAATATTCATGATTGATTCATCACAATTTCGAATGCAGTTCACCGTTTTGTGTGCCATGCAAAAGCCAAGCTCGAAATTCCAAACCATACCGCTAATTTGCTCTAGGTTTATTGTAATGTTGTTTTGTTTGTTTGGTATGAAAAACAAGCATCCTCATAATGGCGCCACAATAGTTTCAGTCAGTGCATTATATTCAAGTTTGATAGTCTTTGAATGAAATATTCGATGCTTAATTTGCCCGAATAATATTTCAAGTAATTTTGAAATTGGCAACACTATTCTCTAGACCAAAAAAAAAAGATGTACATTAACAAATTCTCGATTGTTGACTTTACTCCTGCTCATGATATTCAAACGGATGCACCAAAGAAGAGAGGTAGACCACCTAAGAATTCACCACATGCAAATAAATCAATGTTTATTAGGTCAACTGAGACAATGCCAATGAGGTATGAGTTGACGAATAGAATGACAGACCAATTCAAGAAGGATAAACGAAGAAGAAAGGAAAAGAAAGCATGTAATAGTCCAAACACATCTAATTGCTCAACATATAGTAGTGCATCATCTTTGACTGTCATGCAAGAATTGAATAATTGTTTAGTTTCAGACACATTAGTTTCGTCTCTTCCAACAACGCATGCATCTACTTCTCAATCCAATATTATCACAACAACATCTACTACTAACGACAATACAACAACACATCTAGAATCCAATCTTATCACCTCCAACAATAACAACACATCCAATTATAAACCTCCAAGAAAGACAAGATATTCGATATCCATCAAGGAATTATTAAATTGAAACTATTCCAATATAAATACTAATTAGATGTAATATTTCATACAAGATGCGTTTTGGAAAGGTAGATGCTTTTTGACGTGATTACCTTTCAATGGCTATCACGCATGTATTTCGAATCGTTTCGAATCTTTCATTAACACTCACAATACAAAATACATGCATGTGTTATTATCTTGTTGGTCCTATGTTAGAAAGTCCATGAGAATCGAATAGATGAAGAGGTTTAGTTTGTAGAATGGGGAAGGATGTGTGTGAAATAATTTTTTTAATAAATCAAAATCTACTTGTGTGGATTCTTTAGTACTAGCACAAATAGAAACGGAGACCAATCTTCAATTAGTTCTCACCTTGCCGCCTTTCTAATTTTGTCCTTTAGCCAATTCAAGAATGTTAAAGTTTTTCGTTGAGGGGATTCTTATCAAGCGTTCTCTCCTTAGTAATACTGTACAATTCCAGCTACTAGGATACGCTCTCAATATCAAGGTTAGATAATTTTTGTTGGAAAGCAGGTTCAGTAATAATTCTTTAAAAAAATCAATTATTAGAAAGTAAACTAAATTACTTACGAAATCATAAAGAAGGATATAAATGATCACCCTTCAAGGAATTCATTCCAACAACACATTTCAATGAATATAACATGTAATATATAGGTAGGTCAGAAGCAGATTTCACTAAAAATAGAAGGAAAAATAAAAATTCCAAATAATTATTGAAGTAATTCAATTCATGCAACCCTTTTTTAAATAATATTCAATGTAAACATTGGCAATGGCTAGGAAAAATGTGGAAATTAAAAGAACGAGAGCCCAAATCCATTCTGTTGAGCTAGTTCAATAAAGGCAAAACATTTAAAATTACTCCAATTATTTAAAGTTCCTCCAAATTGAAGAATATTATTTCTCACAAATATAAGAATATCATGGAAACGAGCACATAATAATAATGGTTTGATTCATTGCCACGTTTACACAACCTGAAACAGTTAATGAGGCAATGACCAAAATCAATTTTGCTAAAAAAATATAATTTAGGAATAACAATTCCAAAATTATTTAATTCTCACAAAGATTACAACCAATGCCAAAATACTAACACAAATTCCAAAAGCAACTATGAATGGTTGTGAAAATCGATCTTTAACAAAAATTCCTTCCATGATTTTTCTCTGCACGAACCAATACCTTGCAAATCCATAACAAATAATGCCAATTCCAAAAGCAATGAAAATAATTCCAATAATTGTGAAGAGAATTCGTAAGGTTTCAGATGTATCCTTTGTTAATACTATAATTCCATCATCATTCATCAAATTTAGTAATAAATTTAATATTAAATGTTTAATATTAAATTATTTAAATAATGATTGGAAAATCACTTAAACATACACGTAGAAACAGCAATTCCCATCGAAATTACCGATATAGCAGTATTAAACCACGATAATTGTGTCCTCTCTATTGCCAAATAATCCAAACATTCGTTATGCTTATTTTCCGTTCGTCTCCACCTCGGAACGTAATCATAAATTTGTGATGCTAAAGTAGATGAATTTTCATTATCTTCATAATCTACATTGTATTGTGGTGTGGCCATTGTTGATTATTTAATGCTGGTAAGGATGCGATGAGTTGTTTTGTTGTATTTTTTTTTGTTATTTGATGGAAAATTGATTTGGATATGAAAACTAATAGGGAAATTCAGATTCTTTAATTGGAATCGGTGAAAATAAAGGCGTAAATATTTTGAAATAATTTTTAATTGTTCCCACAGTTTTCAATTTCATTAAATTATTGTATGGCATAATGTACATTTAAGGAGGTGTTATTTTACAAGTGACTAGTTTAGAATATTTAGTTTACATTATCAAATTCAGAGTTTTCTTCTCCATCTGAATCAAAAACATCTCTCTTATTTACATCATTCCAATAAGATTCAGTAATATTACGTCTGGTTGAGTATTGTGAAAAATAGGTGTGAACATATGGAGATTCAGGTTCTCTCTTTTCAATGTCGACATAATCTCTCAGTCCATGGCCAGTGTACTTTTGTCTAGGACGGAAAATCTTCAAATTTGGATCCATGACCATTTCTCTCCAGTGAGCTAACCAACCAGCAACACGAGGAATTGTAAAACTTTCATATATCAATAAATATTTAACATTATCAATCTGAATACTTACAGTACAGGGAACATATCAGTTGGGAAACCTAGAGAACTATAAATAAGTCCAGAATAAAAGTCAATATTAGGGAATAATCTTCTAGAAACAAAGTAATCATCCTTGAGAGCTTGGGATTCCAATTCTTCAGCAATTGACCACAATTTGCTCTTTCCACAAATGTCAAAAACTTCTTTGGCAACTCCTTTCAAAATCTTTGCTCTTGGATCGTAATTCTTGTAAACTCTATGTCCGAATCCCATCAATTTACGTTTCTTTGCCTTGACATCTTGTAAGAATTGAGGAACATTTTCTGGTTTGGCAATTTCGTCCAACATGTGAAGAACTGCTTCATTGGCACCACCGTGCAATGGTCCATACAATGCACTTGCAGATGAAGAAACAGCAGTATATGGATCTACAAGTGAACTACCAACGTGACGCATAGCAGCAGTTGAGCAGTTCAATTCGTGATCAGCATGGAGAATGAACATGACATCGAGAGCTTTTGCCAATCTTGGATGAGGACGATAATTTGGTTCAGAAAGTCTATCCAACATGTACAAGAAATTTTCAGTATAGGACAAGTGATTCACTGGAGTATTGTAAGGACGACCAATTCTGTGGCGATAGGCACAAGCAGCAATAGTTGGAACTTTACCCAACAATCTGAAAATTTGCTTATTTCTCTTATTTTCATCTTTGTAAACATCAGTTCCAACAAGAGCTGGATTGGCTTCGGAATAGAAAGTACCAAGAGCTGATGTTGCTGAAATAAGAATACCCATAGGGTGAGCATCATAACGGAAAGTCTATTTTTCAAATTCCATCAAAATTTTACAAATTTGTTACAATTAGCTCTAAAATCAAAAAAAACAAACCTTCAACATGGAAACCAAATTTTCGTGAATAAAAGTATGGGTAGTAATCTTTTGACACCAATCGTTATATTGAGATTGAGTTGGCAATTCACCATAAATCAACAAGTATGCAACCTCAAGAAATGATGATTTTTCAGCCAATTCTTCAATCTTATATCCTCTATAACGTAATTCTCCTGCTTCACCATCAATATAACAAATCTTTGAATCAGCAACTGCTGTATTCATAAAAGAAGGATCAAAACACCTATCGGAGTATCAACCATAAATACAAATCAAATTCCCAACCATCAAAAGATCATCAATTCAAATATATCAATCATCTATTAATTATGATCATATGAAAACTTACATAATACCATTCTTATCCTCTCCATCAGTCACCATTTGTTTAAACGAAGTAGAATTTACAAAATAACCATCCTCTACAGGAACTTCATAGGTCTTTCCAGTACGATTATCAGTTACAGTTAATGTATTTCTATTGGTTGTTGTTTTCTTCAGATCATCTGAATTTTCTTGATCCGTGCTACTAGAAGAGTTTGAGAGTGGCGCTTGTTGAGACATTTTTTTGTTGTTTTGTGGTTTTTTGTATTAATAGACAGGGAGATGAAGGAAAATTGAATCTTTGCTCTACAAAGGGAGAGAGTTTACAATTGTTTTTTGTTAATTCTCCGAATATGATGCGAAGATTCTTGGAGATTTTGAGTTGTTTACTGTTCAGTTGCATGGTTGAATGTGTGAAAATTTAAAACCAAGTTTTGAATCAATACAATGTAAGAAATGAAAAAGGGATTGTAATTGATTAACAATTTTAGTAATTTTAAAATGGTCAACTGAAGATTGTGAAAATTGTGAATGAAAGTTGTGAATTTTCCTATCTAACTTCCAAATCAATCGAATGATCTTTCAAAAATTATTCACCTCTCTCAATTTTTTCAAAACAAAAAAATGTCACAACAATCAAATCTTTCCTTGCCAATAATTGACATCGGACCAATTATTCACACAACTGACAGTGATGGAAATTATCAAGATGAACAAGCAGCTGCCAATGTTATCAAGCAAATTGGACAAGCTTGTGAGAGGTTTGGATTTTTCTACATTAAAAATCATGGAATTGATGAAGAATTAGTTGACAAGTTGATGAGTGAAGGAAGATCATTTTTTAACAAGCCACTCGATTATAAGAATCAATATCATATGAAGAATTCAAAGGTTTATAGAGGATATTTTGAGTTGGGTGGAGGTAATTGTTAACAAACTTTTGTAAATTTTATGTAATTTTATATTTAAAAATATTTAAAATATTTAATGTTAAATTGGATAGAATTGACTTATGAAAACAAGATGGAAGGAAGGTTATGTGATCC